TGAAGAAGGTATAAGTTATGAAGACTATGAAAGGGCAAAAATTATATGGAAGCATTTTGACATTAAGAATATGGGTGAATACCATGATTTATATTTGAAAACTGATGTATTATTATTGACTGACATTTTCGAAAATTTTAGAGATGTATGTATGAAATATTATGGATTGGACCCTGCTTATTATTATACATTGCCTAACTTTGCTTTTGATGCTATGCTTAAAATGACTGGTGTAGAGATTGATTTAATATATGACCAAGAAATGTATGAAATGATAGAAGCGGGACTTAGAGGCGGGATGTGTATGGTTTCTACTAAAAAAGTTGAAGCAAATAATAAATACATGGGAGAAGAATATGATAAAAATAAAGAAAGTAGTTATATTAACTATTTTGATGCTAATAATTTGTATGGGTTAAGCATGATACAAAAACTGCCATATAAAAATCTAAAATGGGATGATACATTAAAAGAAGAAGACATTATTAATTACAAAAATAATAATATTGGATATATTCTAGAAGTGGATTTAGAATATCCTAAAGAATTACACGATTTACACAATGACTATCCAATGGCACCTGAGGTTATGAATGTTAAAGCCGACATGCTGTCAGATAAACAAATTGAAATTTATGAATTTTTAAATCATAAAAAACCTACGGATGAGAAAACAAATAAATTAATATTGAATTTAAATGATAAAGAAAAATATGTAATCCATATAAGAACCTTACAATTTTATTTGAAGCAAGGGTTAAAACTTAAGAAAATTCATAGAGCAATTAAATTTGAACAAAAAGAAGTTTTAAAACCTTACATTGAGTTTAACACTGAGAAGAGGAAGAATGCTAGAAATGATTTTGAGAAAGATGTTTACAAATTGATGAACAATGCCATATTTGGAAAAACAATGGAGGATAAAAGGAAACATTTAGATTTTGAGGTTGTGAGTGATGAAACTAGATATATGAAGTGTGTAAGTAATCCTAACTTCAAACATAGTCATATCATTAATGAAAATTTGGTTGGAGTTGAAAAGCAAAAAACAAAGTTGAAACTAGACAAACCTATATTTATTGGGATGAGTATTTTAGATTTGAGTAAGCAACACATGTATAAATTTTATTATGACGTTATGAAGCCTAAATATGGAGATAATATTAAAATGGTATATACTGATACTGATAGTTTTGTATTTCATACTAAAACCAATGACATTTATGAAGACCTTAATACAATTAAAAAAGAATTAGATTTTTCAGATTATCCTAAGGAACATAAATGTTATGATGATAATAACAAGAAAGTATTAGGTAAATTTAAGGATGAATTAAAAAGTAAAATAATAACAGGGTTTATAGCTCTTCGTCCTAAATGCTATGCTTACTCAGTTTATGGTGATGATAAAAAATATAAGAAATGTAAGGGCATAGCAAAAGGCACAGTAAGACGTCAAATGAAATATGAAGAGTTTGAGACGGTTTTAAAAACTAATGAGGTTATACATAAGTCATTTAATAGTATTAGAAGTAAAAACCACAGAATTTTTAGTATAACAACTAAAAAAATTGCTCTTAGTAGTTATGAAAACAAAAAATATTGGATAGATAGTGTAAACTCACTTGCTTACGGCCATTATAAAATAAATTCTTTGAAAACGACTTAAAGAAATATTGACTTAATATATTAAGAGGAAAAATGACACTGTTTAATTATAGTAAGTGTGAATGTTGTAATAATAAAAAGAATGATATTAATTTTACATTGTATAACTTATTACCTGCTAATCTGTGTAATAAAATAAGTGAATATGATGTATATTGTAATCAATGCTGTATAACAAGAGACCTTGAAAAGTTGTTTGTTGAAGAATATAAGGATAAGGGATATACAAAGTTTCAATTAAAATTGAAATTCTTTATGAAATATCGCAAAAGATTTCCTGTATATTTTTGTCATAAAATTGATAGAGAGTCATTTGAAAAAGAAATTGATGAGTTTTTTAATAATAAAGATTTAATTAAAAGGTTTGGAGGAGAACTAAGCATTAAACCATATAAATCATTTGCTAAAGAATTTCGTGATTTGTTTGAAGAGATTGATTGGCATTTATTAAGCAAAGATAAAATAAACAAGGTCTTGAATGAATTTAGAATAACTAAATATCATGTATGGTATTACTACAACACTAAATATAAAGTATGTCTATTGCTGTATTTATTCTTTTGGGAATATATTTATTCAATAATAGGAAAAGACAATATCAAATATATAGACATTGGTGATATTGATAAATATGTAGATTACATATTTGAAGACATATTGCCTGACTGTTATCTTAAATCCTTAATTCTTAATTGAAATATAATTATAACATGTAAAATATTATATGCTATAATTATACTATACTTATGGTTAGTTTCTTAATTTTTATTAATGCCTTAAAAATGACTTAAAGAAATATTGACTTAATATATTAAGATAGAAATGAACGGTGATAAAATCAATAATTATATCAATAAAAAATGCTATGATTGTTGTCACTTCAAAAAAGAAAATATGGAATTGTATAAATTAAATTTACCTAATGGAATAATAAATAATATTATTGATTATTCAATGGATGAAGAATATGTATGTGAAAATTGTAAAACCTGGAGAGATAACCAAGCTATAATCAAATGTTTGTTGAGATTAAAAGGAAGACATAATAGAAATGTAGAAGATGACATTTTGATATTTTTAACTGTGTATAAATTACCACCTTACGTTTATGTTAAACAGTTTCTTAAAATCAGTAAGAAAAAATATGAAATGATTTATGATATATTAAGGATGTTGTGTCATAGTCAAAAGAAAGGAGAATATATTAAAGAATATATCAAATTTTATATTGAAATTTATAAAAAGTTTAATGTTAAAAATACATTGAGAGATATTAATATTATTTTTAAAATGATGTATGAAATAAATGAGATTTGTCAATTAAATTATTATCCTGTACTGAAATTATAATCATACTATAATTATCACATGTAAAATATTATATGTTATAATTGTAATATATTTATCGTTTGTAAAGATTGAATTATTATAATTTGCTTATCTCTTTCAAAGTGCGTTGTTTAGACTTGGTATGCTTCTTCAATTTTTTCGTGCTTTGGCTGTTTGTTTTTGTTTTGTTTGATACTCTTATGATATTTTTTGTTGGTATGTTGCTTTGTTTTTTGTTGATGTGTGTTTTTGAGTTTGGGTTCTTTGATGATTTAGAGTGTTGCTGTTTTGTTGGTATGCTTGTTTGAATTATTTAATGTTGTATGCTGTGATTAAATATTTTTGTTGCTGGTTGTGATTATTTATTTTGTTTGCTTGTTGTTCTGGATTTTGTTTTCTGTTTGTTGTGTTGCTGTTGGAGAAAAAATAGTAGAAAGAATAATTCTTTGAATTCTCCTTTTACTATTTTTTCCCGCGGACCAGGGAGGAATCGAACCCGCGACCCGCCGGTTCCGGGAGCAGGCGCGCGAACCACGAGACAACTCCCGAGGACCAGTTCGAACCACAAAACGCAAAAAACCTCGAGTTTTTGCACATCGACCACGCCGATTCCCGCAGAGGGCTGCGCGAGCACCGCAGATATTGCAAAAAACCTCGAGTTTTTGCACCTCGACCACGCCGATCCCCGCAGAGGGTCGCGCGGGAACTTTAGAAATCGCAAAAAACCTCGAGTTTTTGCACCTCGACCACGCCGATCCCCGCAGAGGGTCGCGCGGGCAGGTTAAACATCGCAAAAAACCTCGAGTTTTTGCACCTCGACCACGCCGATCCCCGCAGAGGGTCGCGCGGGAACTTTAGAAATCGCAAAAAACCTCGAGTTTTTGCACCTCGACCACGCCGATCCCCGCAGAGGGTCGCGCGGGAACTTTCGAAATCGCAAAAAACCTCGAGTTTTTGCACCTCGACCACGCCGATCCCCGCAGAGGGTCGATTTTCGTGTAGTGTCGTCGGCACTACCCCGCCGCCCTAAGAAGAGATTTTAACTCCTCGCAAGTCAGTTGCACTTGACTCCTTGCACTTGCAACTTGCACTTGACTCCTTGCTTGTTTCAAGGAGTCATTGCAAGCAGTCATTGCAAGGAGTCATGGCAAGGAGTCATTGCAAGGAGTCATGGCAAGCAGCAAGGAGTCATTGCAAGGAGTCATTGCAAGGAGTCATTGCAAGGAGTCATTGCAAGGAGTCATTGCAAGGAGTCATGAGAGCCATTGCAAGTTGCAAGGAGCCAAGTGCATGGAGTCAAGTGCAAGTCGCACGTGCACGGAGTTAAGTGCAAGTTGCAAGTGCAAGGAGCCAAGTGCAAGGAGCCAAGTGCAAGGAGCCAAGTGCATGGAGTCAAGTGCAAGTTGCAAGTGCATGGGAGCAAGTTGCAATGCATGGAGTCAAGTGCAAGTTGCAATTGCAAGGAGTCAAGTGCAAGTTGCAATCCTTGCCATGACTCCTTGCAATGACTCCTTGCAATGACTCCTTGCAATGACTCCTTGCAATGACTCCTTGCAATGACTCCTTGCAATGACTCCTTGCCATGACTCCTTGCCATGACTCCTTGCAATGACTCCTTGCAATGACTCCTTGCAATGACTCCTTGCAATGACTCCTTGCAATGACTCCTTGCAATGACTCCTTGCAATGACTCCTTGCAATGACTCCTTGCAATGACTCCTTGCAATGACTCCTTGCAATGACTCCTTGCAATGACTCCTTGCAATGACTCCTTGCAATGACTCCTTGCAATGACTCCTTGCAATGACTCCTTGCAATGACTTTCATGATGATGATTCCTTGCAATGACTCCTTGCAATGACTCCTTGCAATGACTTTCATGATGCTGATTCCTTGCAATGACACCTTGTAATGACTCTCATGAGAACAACTCAAGTGAACCCAGCGGAAGGACCCTTCGCCATGCTTTCGGGGAAAAAAAAGGACGAGCTCTTGGAGCTGAGGAAGGGCAACCGCATCAGCAAAGCCTTGGACGCCTGCTCTTTGGATACCTTGCTGGAAGAGGGCCTTGCACTCAGCTCGGAAAGCCAAAAGGAACGGCGAGAGCCCGAAGTATTGCTAGGGGAACAAGGAAACCCGTAGTTTAGCGTCATCTCCCATGGTGTTGTGGCTGAGGGTGCTTGGCTTACTTGCAATACTTAAGGTACCGACGCGTTTCCGCAAAGGCTGAGTTTGGAGCCCGAAATATGGGGAACAAGGAACCCCCTGAGTGTGCTTGGTTGTACTTACGCTTGATATCCACCGAAACTTTAGACATTTTTGCAAAGGCTGAGTTTGGCCTTTGTACTCATGGGAACCCATGTTACTGGTGGCACGCGGTGTCCCATTCTGCGCTGATTGGTGAGGAGCACATTGAGGAGTTTATACCAAGGGTTACTTGAGGTTTGAGCGAAATCCTATTCCCTCTGTGCCTACAAAGGAAGTAGCGTAGGGAGCTCAGCTCTGTATACTTCTTCCCAGTTTGGGATAGGCTTCATGTTCCCCACATGTCTTCTTGGTGGTTTTAAGCAACTCACTGTTGCCCACAGCTGCCCTTGTGACCTTTCAGTTTCCCTTGAGTGGCGAAAGAGGTGATCACCTGGTATTTCTGGGTCCTTTTGGCCACTGAGTCGACTTTTGGGCGTTGTTGCCACAAATTTCCGCTTGGTGCGTATGTAGTCAAAAGGGTGGGGCCTGGCTCAGGCTACGGGTTCCTGGAGCGGAACGCGCGCTTTGAGGCAGCTTTTTTGATTCAAGACCCTGTGTCTCCTTGTTTTTGAGTGTGAAAAGCAACGACGCATCTTTGAACACCTCACTTCCCGAGTTCCTGAACTTTAAACTTTGTTCTAGGGATAAAATCCCCATTCTGTCCAGGGATCCTTCTTTCTAGAAAACCACCAAAAACCCTGGGGAAATGGCTGGTTTTTGAAAAGAACGATGGCTGAAAAGAATGGGGAATCAACCCTGGATTTGTAGGAAGACCATTCTAGTGGTGTCAGCTTCAATGGCCGCAAAGGGGGGGATTGGAATTGGGTGAATTCGATCCCTTTCTGTCTTCGAACATGATCAAGCCTGGCAATCACATCCTTGGCTGACAATTTTCGGATTGGAGCATTTTGCACCACACCGGGTCTCCTGCGTCAAAAGACATGCGACTTAGGCTTCTAAGTATGGATCAGGATCTGGACATGTGACTTGGCGTGCTCCAAGGGCCAACTTGCATGCCCCAAATGGACATACAGCACCTATAGGCCTTAATTTCGGGATGGGTGTTGGTGTACAACCCATGAATAACCACGAGTTTTGGTGTATGTGCATTTGGGGTATGCAAGTTGGCCCAAAGAAATACTTTGCGGTTGGCTCACGCCGGGCCGCACCTAACAGGCCACTGGGCAGATCCTAGACGAGGCGGACGTGGTGTGCGTGACCACCACCTCCTCGGCCACGCCGCTGTTGCACCGACGGAAATTTGGCGCCATCTTGATGGACGAGGCCAGTCCTCACTTCTCTTGGTGGTCCGACCTGAAATGACCTTTGGTCTTCCCGTGCTGGTTTTGGGTCCAAACTGGGGCACGTGAGCTGAAGTAATGTTACGTTAACTTCGGGATTCATCCGGAAGACGGTACAAAAAAAAGTGTTCCCCCTTTATTTGTCCCATTGCAGTAGAGGCAATTCAAACAGCTTGTGTGTAGCCTCCCTTGTGACGCAAGTTCATAGAAGTTCCTCCTTTCGGGGGCAAGTGAATCTATCATAGGGAGCTCCTCTGATCAAGATTCGCCCTGCTTGCCCAGGCGGAACCGCCTTTTCCCTTTCCCCTCAAAGTGACCCAGTTGCCCGTTCCCACGGAAATCCCCTGACGTATCCGAAGTTCCAGGGGGTGAGCTCGGCGAATTTGGGAGTAGAATGACCTTTCGAAAGCCATGAAGGGCCTTTACTTGAGAGATTTGCAGGCATAGGCGGCCTTTTTGGGTCAGTTTGGTTGAAAATAGATGGCACTGGGGGCTGTTTGCAGGTTGGTTCCAATCATCTACCAGTGTTTGCCCAAAGGAGACCTATGGTAGCAGGTGTATGGAAGGGCGGGGCACTCCCAAAGAAGCTCGTCCCTCTCTGGGTAGACATGCGGAGAAAACGGTCACCCCCACGTTTTGATCCTGTGCCCTGTGCACCGTGGTGAAAGGAAAGCTGTTTTTTTGTTGTGGGGGCCCTTGATTTGACACACACGCACACACACACACACACACACACACACACACCCACACACACACACATTTAAAGTGGTTTTTCCGTTTGGGGCGCTGGAATCGCGACGTTTTGACCTTTTAGTTCCCTTCTTTGATCCATTTGCAGTCATCTCCCCACAAGGTGATCACCTTTTATTTGAGGACCTGAGCAAAGGGTTCCAAGGCTTCATTCCGAAAACCCCTGTTGATAAATCAGGTGCTCCTTAGTTGGTTTGGATTTGGATTTGATAAGTCCCTGCTTCTGGAGGGCAACTGGGAAACCCAACCTCCGCACCTTCAAACCACCGGGCAAGATTGACGGGAAGCGCTGATCCCCCACCCATTGCAAGCAAGCAAGGATCCCGATGTCCGATACGTCGCGTCGTGCTAGGCCGCTCAGACCACAGAGCTCTCCGCACTGGTGCCCATCTGCAACGTGAACGCGCCGCTCGGCAAAGAGCGAGCCTCTCGCACCGATCGCTCGCGCCGGCCGTCGCAAGATTCTTTCCAGATGGCCTTCAAAGTGGCCAAGGTGTCCGTCACCCCTGACCGTGAGAGCGAATTCCACAGCAAACCACCAGCGGCTTTGCAGGTCATGCTTCATATCAGTGGTGTCTTCCTTGTTCATGGGTACCTTTCTGCCTTCCAGTCCCCAGACGTTCCTCTCCCAGCATCCTTAGGGTACCTTTGAGACATCAGCCCTGGCGACCAACTGCTGGCCTTTGGTATAGAAAAAAGAACTGATTATGGGAGAACGGTTGTAGTTATGTGGCTGTGTTTTGGATGTTGTTTGTTGATTGGAATTAGTTGGTCAGTTATTTGGTTGAGCTTAGTTGGTTTGTATTGATTCATTGTTGTGGTTTGGTTTAGTTTGGTTTTGCCTTATGCTTGCCCCTTGAACATCACCCCACCAACAGGGAACTCACCGAAATTCGGCCCATGATGCCTAAAAGCCACCCAAGGGTTGGCCTCTAGTTGGCTTATTGGGTTGGAGTTGGTTGGTTGGTGTGCTTCACATCGATGTTGGTTGTAGTTTGTTTTAGGTTTATATACTCTTTAGTTGGCCACCGTACCACCTGTCGCTTAGTTTTGGTTCGTTTGATCTTAGCCGAGGAGACTCCTAGAAGGTTCAAAGCGTAGACTGCAAACCCAAAACCACCAGGAAGGACGCTGAACCTTGGTTTTGGTTCGGGTGGGTTTCATCTCAGCTCGAAATCCAACATCCCCAAGGGTGGCAATGCAGTGCAGAGATTTCGGGCTGGCAGATGGTGATCCTAACTCCCTTGCCCAAAGCGAATCGACCTTTTGACCTTTGGGTTTTCCGATAAGGGCCCCCCAACAGGTGTTTTCCTTGCATTTCCAGGTCCGAACTGGGCAAGTGAGCCAGCCAAGGGTGAGAAATTCCAGCCACAAGTTCCCAATCTGAAAGCACACATGTGAGAGAGTCAACTTATTTTCAGATTTGGGTACATTAAAAGGTGGTCACCTTTGATTTCCAGGTCCTAACTGGGCAAGTGAGCCAAGGGTCTGATTTTGGTTTGGTTTAGACCCCAACCAATAAATTCCAGCTACAAATTCCCAGTCTGAAAGCACATATGTGAGATGATCTTGAGATTTGGGTACCTGTTTTTGGGTTTGGTGGCTTCCCTTCGAGCTTTCCGCTTCGGTTTTTCGAACGCTTCGTGGCGTCGTGGCGTCGTGGCCTTCAGCTTCGTAGGCAGCGCTTGGTGCTGGTGGGGGACCACTGCCAGCTGCCGGCGGCGGCCTTGGCGCTGGAGGCGGAGGTCCGGGGCCTGACGCTGAGCCTCTTCCAGCGCCTAGTGCTGCGAGGCGGGGCGTAGCGCGGGCCGCATGGGCTCGAGCTGCCCGTGGGCCGCGCGGGCGCTGGGTCGTTGGGGTCAGAAAGGGGGAGTGGGCCATTGTCCATATTCCTTTTTAGGGTCACAAAATGACCATGGATAGCCTTTCTTATGTGGTTTTCCATATGCAATTTTCCGTGTAGGGCCCAAAAGCAAAGGGGGTGATCAAATGGGGGGTTTGACCATGGTACTTTTGGGGGGTGATCAAAATTCCATATTCCTTTTAGCCCCAAAATGACCACGGGTAACTGTGCGATTCGATTCGGCTGATTCGGTTCGCCCCCGGTCCGGTTCGGTTCGGTCGATTTTCCTCCACGCTTCCGACGCTTCTGTGTTCTTCGCCACGCTTTCTGGGCTTCCCAGGTGCCCTGCCCCATTCCCAGGCACACGCTTCCCCATTCCAGGTGCCTTCCTCCACGCTTCCCGCACAGCCCTCTCCACGCCCAGGTGGAATTGCTACGCTTCCCTAGTGCCTTGCCCCACGCTTTCCCAGCTCCATGCTTTCCCCTTCCCCGGCTCTTCCCCGTTTGAACGGTCCCCCTCTCCACGCTTCCCGGGCTCCACACTTCCCCGGCTGCACACTCATCTCTGCACTTCCGGCTCTGCGCTTCCCCGGCCACACTCCCCGGCTTCACATTCCCCGGCTCCACGCTTGCCCCGGCCGTCTCCACGCTTCCTGGCTGCATGCTTCCCCAGCTCCACGCTTCTCCGGCTCCATGCCTTCCCCATCTCTACGCTTCTCCGCTCCACGCTTCCCTTTCCCAGCTCCATGCCTTCCCCATCTCCACGCTTCCCAGCTCTTCCCCGGCTGCAAGCGCTTCCCCAGCTCCACGCTTCGGCGGCTCCACGCTGCCTCAGCCCAACGCTTCCCCATCTCTTCCCCCGGCTCCACGCTTCCCCGTCTGCACGCTTGCCCATCTCGGAAGCGGCTCCGCGCTTGCCCATCTCCGCGACTTCCCCATCTCCAGGCTTTCCCAGCTCAGGCGAGATGGGAAACCGTGGAGGGAAGCGGAAGCGTGGAGCTGGGGAGGAAGCGTGGGGCCGGGGAGCGCAAAGCCCGCAAGGCCTACAGCAAAACCAAAGGCCGCATCCAGACCAAGCCCGCGGGCTTGGCCCGGGAAGGCCAAAGCCTGAGCCACACTTGCCCAATTACCCTGTCACACCCAGAGCGTGCCCAATGGCTTTCATTGGGCCTTTCCCTCCGGGCTTTGGGGCAAAGCAGGGCAGAGGAGAGGGCCCACGTCTTGCAATAGAGGATCTCGGACTAGCAGGTCGCCCACAGCCAGGCTCCAGAACAAGCGCAAGTGGAGATGGAGGGAGTGGAGGACAGAGTGCCCGGAGTTAGCCAGATCGCTGCAATGCGTGTCCAGCGCTGCAACAGTCAGCATGCAGGCCTAGGAGGGGACAGACAAGCTGGCGGCGGCATTGGCAGGCAATCCAGCGCTATCTCACCCTCCCGGCGCTGGCTCCAAAGCCGCTGCTCAAGCCCGACCGCAGGGCAAGCAGAGGCAGCAGCACGTGCCCGCCAGGCCGCCAGCCAAGAAAAACAAGAGGACCAAGAAGGAAGAAAAGAGCCACCGTGTTGTTTCTTGTTTGTAGCGTCTTGTCCCCGGCTGTGCCGTAGGACAACACGGACCACTTGAAGAGGAAGAAGAAGAGGCAGAAGCGAGGCCCAACAGTTGCCCTCAGCTTCATGCATGCTCTCATGTCATCCTTGCCCGGGTTCGTAAGCGTGGGGCTGGAGAAGCGTGGAGATGCTTTCAATCGTGGAAGCAGGCATAAGGGCGCACTTGTGCAAGCAGGAGGGCAACCACGGTGCGGTTGCAAATCGCGCTGCGCAAGGCCGGCTGGTTATGGAAGCATTGCATGGTTCAGAGTGAAGAACAATTGTCACCAGGGCCTTTCCGCGAGGATTGTGCAGCACTTCAGCGCGGAAAGCATTATAATTATGGCTGAGAAGAAGTGTTGTCAGCCAAGGCGTGGAGGACACTTCTTGGCCGCCACTTTTTTGACCAATTTTGCGACTATCGGGTCCCCAGCTTGCACCCAGACTTTGCACATCAGCGATGCCCCTTGTATCACCCACTACCTATCACGAAGCAGTTGCTTGGGGCTTCTCGCTGGGCAGTGGAGCAAGCGTATTTGCACGAAATTGCGCGGTAACACTCAAGGTCATACATGCTGGGCTGTAAAAAAAGACGTCCTGCCTGATAGCATTGCGCTGCGAAGCCTGCATGGTTGGTTGGCTTACATCCTGAACATACCGGCAGCCTTCCCGGCTTGTCTATGTAATGGGCATGGACCAGCCTCAACGCGTATTGCCAGCCTTTGTCCTTTTGCCATCCGGACCACCCATTTGCCAGTGCCTTGACTCCCCGGTCCACGCTTCCCCGGCTCACTCTTTCCACCTCTCCACACTTCCCGGCCCCACGCTTCCCTAGCTTCCCCGTCACCGCGCTTCCCCAGCTCCCCAGCCTCCACGCTTGCCCAACTTGCCGATTTCGGTTCCGGTTCCGGCTCGCGGTTCGCAAGAATCGGTGGTGCAGCGGGTTCCGGTTCGGTTCGCGGCTCGCGGCTCGATTCGCGGCGTTCATGAATGGTCACTCCATGTAAAGGCACTTTTGATCAACCCCAGCGTTCCGAATCATGTGGGTCTGTCTTTTTTTGAGTTCCCCAAAAAAGCGCACACCAATTTCAGGCGTTGGTAAACTTGAAACTGTTGGTTGGCAGGTGTCACCACCCCTGCTTCTGCCATATGTGAGAGAAGGGGATGATTGTGAGTGTGTTTGTTTAATGCATGCATGCATGCATACAGTCACACAGTCATACGCACACACACACACACGCATGCATGCATGAATACTACGTAGGCGCAAACATACATATATATTTTGTGCATTCGTATCATCCATACATTGCATAAATTTTGTCTTTATGCATGCATACGTGCGTGCATGCATACATTCATGTGCTATTCACTATTTTTTGATACGTCATTCAGATATTTCACACATATCCTTTGCACACACGCAGTACACACACAACTGCATACCATACAGCGCGCACAATACAATATGATACAATTCAAGAACCAAAACAAACATACAAGTTCAGATGCAAATGAAAACCATAGCACTGCAACATACAACTTCAGATGGAAATCGATATGCAAATTCCAATGCAACACAATGTCTTGATCTACATATTGGCTGAAGCAATTATAAGGTCGGTTCCCTCTGAGGCCTTCCCTCCTTCTTCCTGGACACCCAGTTCCGCATGCATCCGGCGATCGCCGAGCACAGCGCGGAGCAGTTCTACGAGGGGCGGCTGTTATCTGGAGTCACCGCCCAGATGCGGCCGGCACCGGAGGCGTTCTCGGCCCATTTGCGGCGGTTGAAGGGAAATTTCTGGAGGGCGGCCGGGGGCTCCAACTAGGAATCGGTGCATTTCCCGAAAATGGTTGCGGTCCATGCGTGTTTTCTTTTCACTATGCCTCATAGGGGCCCTATCAGATTGTCTTTTGGGTCCCGGTGTCCCTTGGAACCAGCGTGAAGCAAGCTTGAGCTGGGGAGTTAAGAAGCCCACTTTGGTAACGTAACTAAGCTGAGCAGCGCCCAAAACCGCAATTGGCCATCACCATCCCTGTTGGTCAACCAGGGTTGTCCATCAATCGTGACCCTTGGAACGTTCGCAGGGATTTAACCCAGGACGCGCCTAGGTTAAGCCTCTCGCCCACTAACTTGGAGCCTTCAGAGGGCAGCATCCCCACGCAGGTGTCACGTCAACGTGGGAGGGACCGGGTCGCTCGAAATCAAGCATGGTAGGCCCAACCAAGATATGAGAATTTCCTGTTTGGTTTCCCTTCAAGCCCAACCTCCAAGAGGGTAGCTTCAAAAAGCACAAATGTCAATCCTTAGTCCTTATACCAGATCGGGGCTTGTTTCCCTTGTGGTCTACGGGTTGCGGATCAGAACTGGGGCCTTTTGAACCGAGTTTGGTAGGGGCGGTTCCCTTGTTGAAGCGCCCCATCATGACGAGCATCCCCACCCCCAGAACCTCAAGGAACCCCATGACTCCATGTTCCTTTTTGTGCGTTTTGTTGTTGTTGTTTTTTTGGGGGGGGATCAGAAGAAAACGACTTCTGTGCGCCCCAGTGGCAAAATAATGCTGTGGGTGGCACCTGAGGATAAGCATATTCTTGACGTTCCGCTTCTTGAGGGCCAGGGGGGATGAACCAATCTAAAAATTCCCTATTACACCTTGGCATTGCACCGGGAAATGACCCCAAAATGATGATGATGATAGTAAGGAGGAGGATGATGATGATGAGGAGGAGGAGGATGATGATAGAATACCCAGGCTTTCTCCGGTGCTTTTCTGAGCGAAGCGCTTCAGCTCCCTCAGCCCCCCTTCGAGGGAATCCGCTGGCCTTCGGGCGCGGGCATCGCGGTGCTGGACACCCAGCGCATGCAGGCGAGGGAAAACGCGGGGGAGCTTCTCTGGTCGGGGTTTAAAAGGCGAAAACCGCAGGGAAACCAGGCTTCTGGGAGGTGTTTCTAATGTTGAGACAAACCCAAATGGCCTGTTTTTTGCTTGTTTGTTTGTTTGCTCGAATGAAAAGAAGCATGGGGATTGTTTTTAAGAAGATGCCAGAAAATGCCAGACGCCCTCAGTTGGCACCCGGCCAGTGCCAAGCCTTCATAAAGAGACCAATTCCTGGAACATGCCCAGGAAGTTGGCCATGTGATTTTCCGGACCTATCAAGGAATCCGATGCTTCGTGCTTTGGGCCCGGGTTTTCCTGCCCTTCCTTCGGTTTGACTTGAGCCCCAAAAAGGGGAGCGACGAGTAGACCTGAACCCAGGTACGTGGCAAGTGAATCCCTGGCGTTTGTCCGCATGGCCTCGGCCCCGAAAAGAGCTGGGGCTCCTTCTCCAAATCCAACCGTCCCTCGAAGAGAACCTTAGCTAAACCCGGTTGCGTGGTAACAACCCCTAAATCACTCTTGGGCTGAAACATTCCCACATAAATTCGTTCGCAAGAGAGGCGTCCATTTTTTTCTGCCGGGGTCACTGGGCTTATGCTGGGAATGTGGTTTGAGTTCACAAGCACGAAAGGTTGACTCTTCAAAGTTCGGGTCGGCCAATACTCTTCACCATCTCGGGTGGGCTCCTCCAAAACTAGTTCATATTTTAGGGTGGGCTGAATACGGAGCAAAGTCAGAACACTGAGTCTTTTGTGTACGATGTGGATTTGCCAAGTTATGCTTAGAAAAACCCGCCCCTTCCATGCTTGATAACATTTGCTATTTTCTCTGTTGGGTTTTAAGGGAATCTATGACTGACTACTGGAAATGGTCTTTCTCCTTTCCAGGGGACTTAAGCAAATCGAGGTTCCTAAACAGAATGGAAGGGTGCACTCAAAGTATGCCACACGGTTTTGTCCTCGAAGGGAGTAGAAGGACCACCCTTGTCGAGCTTAAATTGGTCACAGACTGAAGAGAGCCAAGGAAAACAAATCACATGTGGGTGTGTGATTTTTCTAGGGGGCTCCCAAAATTGTGATGTTCCTTTTGTTTCTTCTTTAAAACCAGCAAAATGTGGTACCCCCTAAAACGAAAGACCGCTAACCTTTTTCCCCAGCTGAAAACTTTGGGGTCGGTACGATCCGGTTGTTGTTGGGATAGCACCTGGGCTTAGTTGTTTGTAGCAAAAAGTCGACCTTTTTGGTAAGGGGTCAGAGGCCCAACGACCGAACCGTTTTCCTACGTGACTCTTCCAGCGCTCACAGGACAATCGGGAGGAGCGCGACCGTGCGACTCGGCTGAAGTTGCTGACTTTTCGAGCCCAAAATGACGGCATTAACAGGGATCTCTTGAAAGCTGAGAGGAGAAAAAAAAAAGAAGAAAAAGAAAGGACAACGTTCACTGGGGTAACCCTTTGGTGGTTGGATTTGTTGTCCTTGAAAAGGTCCCTTTAATGGACCCTGGGCTTGCTCTCCCCTTCCGGGCGGCCCGTTTTGGCTCGTCACAGGCTTGCTGCTCGGGGAATGGCCCCCAAAAACGGCACCTGGAGTTTCATGTAAGGGGATCCCCTGGTTTCCCAAAATCACAACTCAACTGGTTGTCACCGACCTTCCGCAAGTCTCAGGTTCCAGAAATGTGTAGCCGGAAAAACTGTGTGCTCTCCACACTTAGTGGGACAGTGCTCAAGCCCCATGTTCACACAATCAGTCAGGGAATGGAGCCCAAGTCCTTGAATGAAGACGCCTGAAAGCGGCACCCGCTTATCAGCTTCTGACCCTCTGCTTGCCTGGGATCCTTTGGCATCCCGACAGGCATCCTGGTGCAACAAGCGTGAGGCAGCGATGATCGCGCGCATGCTGAAGTCCGTGCCATGGAATCGCACGCGTCCTTGCTACGGGGGGGAAGGGGATGACATAGGTCCTTTGGGGGTTGGGCAAGGTGGTGCTCTCTTGAGCCTAAGGGGGACCGGCTCTCTTGGTTGCTCTGTGAACCTCTTTTGGGCGTAAGGCCAGCTGGCGAGTGACCCTGGCTCTCTTGGTTGCTCTGTGGACTCCTCTTTGGGCCTAAGGACCAGCTGGCGAGTGACCCCTTTGTCCCGTGAAAGGCTCGCAACTCCCTCAGCAACGATCCAAGCAGCCAGCTTGGGATCCGTTTAGGAGGCCCCTCCTTTTTGCGGCCTCAAGCCTTCCACGCGACCAATTCGCCGGTCGCCGGAAGCACTGGAAAAGCTGGGCCCTGACTGAAAAGCCACATGGGCACTCAAAAGCGATGCAAGACAATATTAGTATGAGTTTCTAGCACCTCGTCTTAGAAAGCTTATTTAAGTTAATAAGGCCTGTTGAGACCTGTAGATGCCCCCTGAAAAGAAAGTTTGGTTACTTGTTCTGGCCAATCCACTCGATCGGAAGTGAGTTAGACCCCATGAGCCATATGGGGGTTGATCAAAAGGTGGTTCGCGAAACCACCCAAAAAGATTTGACTTTCACCACATGGGAAAAGTTACCCATCGATCGAGTGGATCCAGAAAATGTCGCCAAGCTCTTTAAATGTACCTCTAGAATGGTCGATCGGCCAAAGAAAGTAACAAACTTTGATTTTTACCACTAAAATGGTCCAAACCCCAAACATATGTTGCCACGTTTTCGCATCCCAGTCGGTGTTTTCTTCGCACCAAGGTGCTGAGAACGGGCCTGAAGCCCTCCGAGGTCGGGGTAGTGACGCCCTACATGGGCCAGGCACCGGACGTCAAAAATGCGTCACTGTTCTTGAACCAAGGGCTTTGTTTGTGGTTGTGTTGTTTTGGGGGGGTGGCTTGTGTTTGGTTGTTTGGTTGTTTGGTTCTGTTTTTAAGGTTTGGGCTGCAAAAAGAAACTTAAAGCTTTTTGCGAGCCCATACCACGGGTTGTGAAGTAAGAATTGAAAGGACGGAATCATCGTGGTTCGGGGTAATGGCTTTCTGCTTTGGAAGCCAAGAGCCCAGGAAAGGTTCGCCAGGAACATTCGGGTTCTGAGTGGGGGGCCCCAACGTGGATACTGGTACACCGACAGACAGAACACCAAGCCCCGCCGGGTTTGTGCGGGTTCCCACTCCAGGGATGGTGTGGGAAGGTCTTCCAGTGGTCAGTGCCACCCGTCTCCCCTTTTGGCCATGTGGAAAATGCGGTTTCGGGCCCCGCTTGTGCGACAAGGAAGCCATATGTAGAGTCGAAAGTGATGAAGTGGCTCCGGGTTCCCCTACTTTAATATCGCAGAAGTCACCTACCGTGGTTCCCCACTCAAGATGGAACTGAATGGTCAAACCCGAGCGTTCCAATCCTTAACGCTTAGGGATTGGAGGCATTTCTTCCATATCCAACTAAAACTGGGTGCTAGACAGCAAATGTTAGATTTACCCAAAGGGAAGCAGCAGCCAAAAGGGATGGGCTTGTGTTTTTGTTGGACCCACTTGGCACCCAGCTTTAGCACCAGCCCAGGGCTGGTCACAGCGCTCCCAGTCAACTGATAGAAACGGAGCAGCGAAGCCTTCGGGCGGACACTCCTTATGAATCCTTATGATGTGGGTCGGTAACCAGGGTAACTAAGGGGCATCTAAGAAGCCATCTCTAGGACATTCTCCATGACATTTTCCAAGCAGCAAAAACCCGGGGGTGTGGGCAAACTTCCCGGACAATGTCCCGGAGATGGTTTCGTAGATGGTATGACTTGCTGGTGCTCAGATGGTGTACAAGGCTCATTCCATTTCTCATTCCCTGCCTATCCCAGCCAGTTTCTCACCAACCTGAATCAAGAAATCCAAGGAACTCTTTACCTCCAAGCATTAAATCAAAGAAACGTGGAATGAAGGTCACCTAACATTCAATGGTGATCAAAAGAAGCCATGGTAAAAAACCAAGGGCGACATACTTCCCCCAGCACCCCCACGACAAAAACACGGCGCCGCCGCGAGGTGCGGACCTTGCGCCGCGCCATTCGCCAGGAGGTGTGGCTCGAGGACCCGAAAACCGGCAGATTTGACCCAAAGGTCCATGTGGCCCATGTGGCCCATGTGGCCCATGTCCACAAAAGTCCAAAGGGAGAACTTCAACTTAGGTCAAAGGGAACTTTTGTGTGTACGTGAAAAGTCCAAGGGGAGAACTGGGCTGAAGTCTACTTTGAAATCAACAATTAGGCTGGAAAACGGGAAAACGGGGTTGGGTTTACCTAGCTTGAAACGGAAACAAAGACTCCCAATAGCTTGAAGGTGAATATGCATGCATGCATGCATACCTACCTGCCTATCCACCTACACACCTACATACCCTCACATCTACATTACCTACATGCATGACTCCTACCTACCAACCGACATACCTACACGCATACATACATATCTACACACATACATACATACATACATACAGACATACAGACATGCGTACATACATTCATACATACATACATACATACAGACATACTGTGGATGGACGAAATCTTGCACCACTTTGAAACCATGGGAAACCATTATTTGTTGGTTTTTACAGGGGAATCGAATAATTCCAGGGATTCTTAGGTGGTGCAGGATTTCGTCCATCCACAGTACTAACATACATACATACATACATACATACATACATACATACATACATACATACATACATACATGCATGCATACATACATGCATGCATGCACGCATACATACATACATACATACATATGCATACATACATACATACATACATACATACATGCTGACATACATACATACAGACATACTGACATACATACATACATACATACAGACATACAGACATACATACATGCATACATACATAGAGACATACATACATACATACACTCATACATACCTACATACATTCATACCCACGGACATACTGACATACATACATACATACATACATACAAACATACTGGCATGCATGCATACATGCACACATACATACGTACGTACGTACATACATACATACTGACATACATACATACAAACATACTGACATACTGACATTCCTACATACATACATACATACATACATACATACATGCATACATACATACAGGCATACAGGCATACTGACATCTGGCCATGGGTCAAAAATGCGTACCCAAAATGGAACCCTGGCAAATGGAACCAAAGACTAAAACCTGCGGTCCCCTGATGGTTTTATTTTGACCCGTACCCATATTGACATATTGACCTACTGACCTACTGACATACACACACACACACACATACATACATACATACATACATACATACATACATACTGACATACTGACATTCATACATACATACATACAGGCATACAGGCATACAGGCATACAGGCATACAGGCATACAGGCATACTGACATCTGGCCATGGGTCAAACATGCGTACCCAAAATGGAACCCTGGCAAATGGAACCAAAGACTAAGACCTGCGGTCCCCTGATGGTTTTATTTTGACACGTACCTATAGTGACATACTGACCTACTGACCTACTGACATACATACATACATACATACATACATACATACATACAGGCATACAGGCATACAGGCATACAGGCATACTGAGATCTGGCCATGGGTCAAAAATGCGTACCCAAAATGGAACCCTGGCAAATGGAACCAAAGACTAAGACCTGCGGTCCCCTGATGGTTTTATTTTGACACGTACCCATAGTGACATACTGACCTACTGACCTACTGACATACATACATTCATTCATTCATACATACCTGCATGCATGATGCAGAGATACAAGCCTCAACATGATGCGTGCAGCTTCGAGGAGCCTCGAGATCTGCTTGTGGCCTCCGTTGACTCCTTCCAGGGCAGCCGCTTGGCGTCAGGCGAAGCGTGTTCTCGGGTAGGGAGTCTGGTACGCCCTGTGGGAAACCACCTGCTTTGAGATGGGTGTGGCTCAAAATTAAACAGGAGGGGTTACGCAGGTTTTGGTCCAGGTTTCCACTTACCCAAAGCAAGCCATTTTGGGTACCGGTTTTTCTGAGCCACAGCCAGATTATGTCCAGGTATTGTGGTATTGCAGATGGAATCGGTAGTTTTGTCCCGGCGTGCAACACCCAAAGTCTTAGATTGGCTGGATCTTGGACCTTACCTTGCAACCAAAAACTGCACGTGGCCTCCCCCACAAACCCCCCTTGCATAAAGGAAGGGACAGCACGGGATGCATTGGCGCAAGCGGAGGCTGGTGTGACGCCAGATCCTTGCGGGAAGTGTTCTGCAGGCAGCCACCAAAAACTGGCTCCGTGGCCTCCTTTAGCTTGGCGCTTCGCCCAAGCGATGTGGATGGTGGCGAAATCCGCTTGGGCGCCAGGGCATGAAACCATGATTGAAACCATTGGTTTGGCGGAATTTGCAGGGGAATCGCCATCATTCCAGGGGTTTCTTAAGGTGCGAGACGGATTTCGCAACCCTCCACAGTATGTTGTGTGCGTATTCGTGCTTGTTGATGAACTCCCAGCTGCATCCAAACTTCAATTTCGGGTCATAGAACGTAAAGCCGCGAAGTTCGGGGAGCCAACGGCTCTCCTCCTTCCGACTCCAAGCCTCCGAGTCCCTCCACGTGTGCCCCTTTGGCTTGAGCGAATGATCCAATTCCAAAGGGACAGACACCCAAGACGATTCGGAATGGAACTGCAGTGCCTCTTGGTTCTGTTTGCAGGGAAGCCGAAAGGCACACCACTATTTCCCAGGTTCCCATATTCTAAAGACACGCCCTTCTGATGAAGTTGTACAAGAAAACGAACGGACCTTGGCAACCAGTTCCTGTTGATGAAATCGCCAGAGGGAGTCGATGCAGGAAATGACATTTGGCCCCGATGGCGTATTTCGACGTTGTACCCCCGATGTCATCAGGAGTTGTTTGGTGCAATCCACCCAGGTTGCTTCTCCTTAGGAATGACCCACGTTTTGAATACCCTCGTGTGGAACGGCCCACTGGGTGTCTGCGTCTACCCTGCAGCTCAGGGGAGAAGGAGCTGATTTTGTTCAGCGCGGTGCGGAGTAACCCCCGCGGCAGCGTGGGGTTCCTGGCGGACTGGCGCCGTCTCAACGTGATGATCACGAGGGCGCGGCGGGGCCTGGTGATCGCCGGGGGGCCTGGAGCCCGAAGCGAGAGAGATGGACGTGGCCGGCCCTGTCTGGGTGTGTGTCTCTTTTTGGAGGCAGCCCCCCCCCCCCCGTTTTTCGTGGCGTCGTCGGTTTTGAGGATAGGCTTGTTTTTTTCTCGTGGTTTCAAAGGGAGGCCAACAGGAAAGCCAAAAAGACACGCCCAAATGGTTTCGTGGTGCCTTTCCTTGGTTGGGATTCATGGCTCATTCCGTGAGTTGGACTTCAGATCTTGTGGGGTCCAATTGGAACTGGGCAAGCAGGGGCAGAATCTGTTTTCTTGTGTTGGTTCGCCGGGCCTGGCCCCCCTTCAAACATTCAAAGGGGAACCAAAAGCGGGCTCGTTGGAACAATCGGTGCGCAAATCTGTTTCACACCTTCATTGGCATGGTCGACCATGTCGCTTCTCGGGAGAACAGGAGCTGCCAAAAAGGGCAGCCCCGGAGTGTGTCTTGGCCACTGGATTTCTGGTATATTTTTACCTAATAACCCCCTTTGGTTTCCCCAAGATTGAGCAGAACAAAGTTGCGATATGTTGCGATAAAAGCCGTTGTTGGGGGTAGGTGCCTTTGCTATCCGCTTGTTCCACTTGTTTCGACGTCCAGCTGATTTAGATCCTTCTACCGTCCTGCTTTGGAACGGCCAGTTGGAAAGAGAGTTCTTGATGCGCATCCTGGGAGCCCTTGTTTTGAGTGGCACTCCCGGATTTTCCGTTGGGTTTCAACCAGCCTCTGGGCCCAGCCTTCCTAATGCCCGCCGAAGCCCAGCGAAACGCTGCAGGTGGGGAACGCCAGGACCCTGAAGAGAGATCCCACCTGGGCCAACTACATCGAGTGGGCCCAGAGCAAGGGCTACCTTCAGGACGCCCGCGAGGAGATCTTCGAGCCGGACGGGGCGTTCGCCTACTAGCTCCCAGCAGAAAAGTGGCCCACACCGAAAGCCAGGGAGTCAGGGGTCAAAAAGCCGGTGGCACCGCTCTTGTGTTGTTTTGTTTGATGTTTGAATCATAGGATGCTCAGATCCTTGGCCTATTTTGGAGAGGGAGGAAGTCCAGAGATCGGATGATGGAACCTTCGCCTGAGGAACCAACTCACCTGAGTTTATGCACTTTGGACTTGTTGCGAAGACTATTTTAGTGGCAAACAAGAAGTTTTTACTTTTTCCTTCAAGTCCACTCAGAAGGGGAGCCAATCGTCTGAAGTGAGGCTCTTTTTGGGCATTGTGTTTGACTGGGCGGGCCGTCCACCCAGTTGCCCATGTCATGGTGAGACTTGTTGCTTCGGATCAAACCAGCTGGTTGCGAGGGAGCTTTGGAGCTAGGAGTTCTGTAAGGACATGGTAGCGATACAGTCCCCATTGGCAACCACCCTTCCAGGGAAGGCCCCCCTGATCAATGCGGTCCTCTCGCGCACTCTCTTTGGCTAATAGGCCTGCAATTGCGGAAAGGAAAGTGAATGGAAGTGATGTTTGCTGGAGGTGCCCATGATTGAGATGGGGGTATTTGCATTATCATTAGGGGAAAACTCGAATTTGTGAAACAGCATGTAGAGAACAGACTTGCTGGTTTGGGCTAGCTGGGTGTAGCGATAACACTGGCAAGCGTATTGGCAATAGCTTCTGCAATTGCAAAAAAGTGTTTCGAATGCTCGGACTTGTTTGGTAGGGGGCAGAAGTGGACGTCTTCAATCGGAAACGCGGAATTTGGTGGAATATGTGGGGTGAAGGTAAGATGGGCTTTGAGCCAGGAAACGGGACAGTCTTTCATCGGTTACTACTCGGGAAGCGTTTGCAAGGCCCCGCTATTGCATTTGCAGGGGCGAAGGATGTTGGCTCGCTTGCCCAAAGCGAATCCACCTTTTCACTTTTCAGTGTCCCTTTGTTGGGGTCCATGTTTCGGCATGCCCTCAAAAGGTGATCCTTGATTCCTGGGTTCGAAGTGGGCGACTGAGTTGCAGGTTCGCTGCTTGCAATGCGGGACCCCAGCGACCACTGGAATCCATGTTTCAGAACTTGGCTGGGGGCGAATGGCTTTGCCTGGGTCATTATTTTGGTGGGTCATTATGTTGGTCATGATTTCGACTGGGCCAAGGCTTCTGCTTGGTGTTATGAAAGTCAAAGTCAGCAGATGGTTTTCCCCGTAGCTTACCACTTTTGGGGTGGGGCCGGTTTCACTTGATCGACCCGAGAGCTTTTTTGGCTGTCCAAGTTCGGCCTAGCCAAGGATTCGGCTGGGTATGGGCTAAATTTAAGCGACCGGTATACGGACCCCAATTTCTAGTGCACGTTTCCATGTATCAGGGTTGCAGTTTTGCGTACCTACGTTTGACCCACAGCCAAGCAGAGTGAGCTGATAGCGTGACTTCAGTCAGCCATGGAGCTACCGATGGAAACTGCTGCTGCCACCGTGCCTGAGGACGGATGGGACGGGTGGGGGCGTGTGTGTGTGCAAAACTCAGCACAGAGCCCCGTGTTGCCAGTTGGGTGTTTCCCTGAAACAATAGGTTTCCTTTGAGTTGTCCATTTCAACTACCAAGAGAAAGGGGCTCAGCATTTGGAGAAACGCACATGTTCGCCGAGAATGATCTGTTAAACTTGGGCGGACTGAACTAAAGGCAAAGAAGAAGTTGAGCCTCTACCCTGCCTCCAACTAACATGGCACCTGTGGGGAGGTACCTGGAAGATAATTTTCCTTTTGAAGGGACCCCCTGTCAGTTGCCATGTTAGTGGGAGGGAGGGTATATTTTGAGGGCTTTGGCCCGGTCAGTCTGGGATAGTCGACAGAAGTGGGTGAAACGTGCGCGTGGCTCCGCTGGCTGCTGAGGAGGTAGAAAACCATCCTACTGCGGATGGTCGGCCTGGGAAGTTCCGCGAAGAGGACTGAGTAGGGCTGGTTCAAAGTGTTGGTCCTGGAAAGTCAAGTTGCGAGAGGAGGTTTTGGGGTACTTGAGGCTGCTTGGGGGGCCCGAGGGTTGTTTTTTGGGTATCTTCTACCTGTGGGGTGCGAGGGGTCAACCAGCCCTTCAGGGTAAGCGGTTGCTGAATTGGAAAGTCGCACCTTCCCCTCTTAAAAATGGAATTGAGGGAGGGTTGACCCATGGAGTTCCTTTCTGGTGCCATTTCCCCTTTGTGGACTACTAGACCAATGGAAGTGGGCCACCCTTCTTGTTTGGGGGATCGTCACACTTCCCCAAGTGCTGGACTTGTTCGGTGATTCGTTCCGTGGTAACTGCCTCCCTGACCATTCAGCGAGAAACGCAAGCTGCAAAGAGGGAGTTTTATGGCATCAGCTTCCCTTCCAAGCCTTCTTGAGCGGCGTTAGTTTTTTTGGCGGAAGTTGTTCGGATACGACAAAAGCGCCCTATATGTGCGGATACGACTGGGGCCCTATATTTGCTGATATTTGTCGACACTTAGCTGAACCTAGCAGCTGTTGACACAAGCTCTCCGGGAAAGAACCCTAGGTCCCCCAGTAGTGCTCTGTTACCCTTTTTGGGGGGAGGGTTCCCCTACTAAAATAGACTACAGGGAGAAAAAAAAAAGGGGAAAACAAAGGTATTTGCGGTTGGCAAGAGAGAGAGAGAGAGAGAGAGAGAGAGAGAGAGAGAGAGAGAGAGAGAGAGAGAGAGAGAGGGAGAGAGAGAGGATCGGAGAGTCAAGACGCTGGTTCCTGCGTAATCCCTACAAACTGTACAACCTCCCCCCCTTCCAGACAACACGCCAAATGCGGGCTTCCCAATTTGTTGGGAAGGTGATTGGGGGCACGCATTTGCTCTCCAGAAGTGAGCTGTTGTTGTTTTCTTTTGGTGTGTGTGTGTGTGTGCGTGGTTTTCTGTTGTTGTTGTGTTTTTTTTTGGGGGGGAGTCTCCAGAGCTGAATCCCAGTGTTCTTTGGCGCTCCGAGCTCACTTTCCCGCGGCCCTGAAGCTGAGGTAAGCCAAAGGGGTGGATTGGTGGCGAGATGGATTTGAAGCCCTGGCGGCAGAGGGTAAATGGGAAACCTCCCGCAACCTCAACCAAACTCCAGATGCAAATCCAGAAAAAAGCAACCGGCAAAAACCAAACCTTCAACTCCAAACCACCAAGTAGAGGGAAGCTGAGAAGCGCTGCACAGTCGCCTGGCTTCAGGAGAGCGACAAACCCCTTCGGCAACGGCGGCCATTGCTGCACAGCACCGGCGAGAACGAGGCAGGTCAGAGTGGCGCAAATCTCGGCTGCTTGGTCGGATTTGCAACCTTGGATATCACTGAAAGTCACGCATGTTTACTAAAGTTAAGTAGAGCTCACTACAATTTCACTTGTGTTCCACGATGGCTTGCACAATGAGCCCGTGATAGTGGCTTCTTGATGACATCAACTTCGGATTCATCCTAACAAAACCCTGCTGATCAGAAATTAGCTGCCTTCTTTGGAGGAATAAACGCAGTTTCATGCTATCTGAAATCTAAACGATCTAATCTTTCGCAGAAACGCTTGAGTGGGAAATCTGATGACGCGCCTGTTGTTGGAGCTGTTCTCACTTCCTGAGTTCACTTTAAACTCTCTGGGAAGACCATTTTAGTGGTAGATATAAAGCTTAAACTTTTTTGGGCCATCCACTCAGCCAGGGAGTGTTGCAACTGCACTCCAATTCAAAAACGGGCGCGGCGGGGGGCTCCTGATGTCAATGGGGTGACGTTGACTTTTCGAGCCCCGTGTCTTAGTCCGAAATACGGTGCTCTTTTGGCGCTTGAACTGACCTTAAAAGAAAAAGCACATGTTCGTGAAAAGTGGTACCACCTGAACATCCGTGAGTTTGAGCTGGAACTCTTCCAAAATGGCTGGTCAGCAAATACAGTTGGACCTTGTTCCCGTTACAACCACGCAACAGGGGGCACCCTCAAAAAACACAGACCCATTTTAACGAGTGTATGCAATGTTTGAGCTCATCGAAACAAGGATCTTGGGTTGGGCAGCCCACAAATTACCTCGCCCAGCGTCTTGCTTCATGAAAATGGCCAAACCCCAGAATCCTCCCATGGTTCCACTACATGTCTTCCTGGTTCAACAGCCAGGGAATGAGAATGGGAATGACCCCTATAAACCATCCAACTGGTTGTTTTCTTTAAGGGGACTGGATTTGGTTCAACAGGCAGGGAATGAGAATGGGAATGACCCCTATAAACCATCCAACTGGTTGTTTTCTTTAAGGGGACTGTATTCATTCCCAACACCTGGACTCGGGCATTCCCTAACACCAGCAAGTTTTCGTGGAAGCCGATGCTGCCATAGGCAAAAACTGAAGCTTCGGCCTGCCTGCCTGATGAAATGTGGTGCAAGCAGACAAGGACATGCGAAGGTGAGGAGGCAAATAGCTGATTCACAGGACCTTCGGGTTGCACGTCATTGTGTTGTGTGCCTTTTTCTCTTGTTGTTGTCTTTTTTTGGGGGTGGGGGATTGGAGGTCCCGGATTGATAAACCGCGAAAGTAATCAGGTAATCAGGATTCCCTCTAAAAGGGGACGCCCCCGGATCATATCAACCAGAGGTTTCTGAATCCAGGGTTAAGAAACTCTGGTTGGTTTGTGCACCGAAGGGTCAACCAGCTGATGGGGCCCCGAAAATGTTGCCGGCTCCCAATCCAAATGGCTCCGGTTCAAAGTGCACCGTGAAGACCGGCGTGTTTTTGGGGGGAAAGACCACTTGTTTGGTGTGTTTGAAGGGAAGAGGGAAACCTTGCCGTTTTCGGGAGGCCGAATCCAATTTCGAGAAGCGCATGTTGTTTGCTGGTTACAAGGGGAGACGCCCCAGGCTTTGGCTGCATCACGCTTCCAGGTATATGTTGCCCGACACCAGAGCCTAGCAGTGCTCTTCAAGATGGTCAGGCCGCTGGGGCTACTTCTTTCTTTCTTTTTTGTGGGAAAGGCGGTGTTGGGATTGTTTGGAGGGGTTGGGAGGGGTTGGGAGGGGTTGGGAGGGGTTGGGAGGGGTTGGGAGGGGTTGGGAGGGGTTGGGATTGTTCTGCATCCATCGCTATCGCTCTCCAGTTTGCCTGGGTGCTGAGTAGCCCACAATTTGCGAAATGTCCCCCAAAACAACGCCGAAAGGGAATGATAAATTGTTTAGACCCCTCGCTTTGAGCCCGGTGAGGCATTTGCGGATTTGCCCACCTCACCCTGACAATTTAGCGAAGGAACCCCTAAACCACCTTGTGGGTGAGCCTGCTTTTGAGATCGGCTTTTCTGAGGACTTCAGCCGCATTCTCAAGCATACTCTTGAATGTACCGGTATTTATTGTGGCATCAGTGCTTCTTTTGGGAGACAACTTCTTTGCAACGACCATAACCGCCGCCGCCGCGACAACAACATCATCATCATCAACAACAACAACATCATCGAAGCGCCACGAGCAAACGTGCAAGAATAGTAGCCAGTCACCCCCGCCTCTCTCCCGCTTCAGGAAAGTCGCGCTGACTCAAATCGCAGACCTTCGCCTCTGGCGTGGCGAGCCGGGGATACCATGTTCAAATTCAAATGCACTAGCGCTAGACATGCGCTGAGCAGGGTTCTAATGAGCTCGACATTTGCGGGACAAAGAGATTGTGACATAGCTAAGCTTGACTGATATTATAAGCGTGCCACACGTGCTCTACACGGACTAGAAACTTGCTGGGAATGTGCTGGAAGCAAGCTCGACATATAATGGAAGTAAGGACCAGCATAGACTATCCTCTGCACATACCTAGTATGTTACATGCGTAAGCATGCTAGACAGAATGTGGCAGCCATATGCTGGATTACACTAGAACCTTGATAGAATTCTGCTACGAGACTGATACTGCAACATCGTGTTTGAAACGATTGGAAGAAATCGATTGGACGCATGCCAGACATTTGCTAGCAGAATGCTAGAGACATGCTTGGAAACATATAGGCCGCACGCATATGCTGGAGGCATGCTAAAGTGATGTCAGACAAATACGACGCACATAACCAACTAGCACATAGACCCCCAATGTCCTGAGTACGCTAAGTCACGGCTACTCACTATGGGCGGAAGGCTTGCTGGTGCTCAGCAGGGAATGAGGGAATGTTACCTGTAAACCCATCCAAGTGGTGGTTTCCATTAAAGGGACCACCAGGTTCATGCCTTCATCCCCTACTGAGCGCCAGCAAGAAGGGTATGGATTGCAAAGCTATGGCAGACCTTTGGTCCAGGAAGCTCTTCGACCGCGGCAACCACTCGGAGGTGCTGATCCACGGCATGGGCGCCAGCATCACCAAAGCGTTGCATGTGACCCAGGACGAGGGGTGATGAGGGGTTGGGGAGGGTGGGGGGATGGAGATAGGGGGGATAGAGATTGCCTCAGCACATAGCACAACAATGTCATGGCGTGCGAACCTATGACAACGCGCCATGCAAGCAACATGCACCTTGTGCACAGAGAGACCCCGATGGTCATTGCACACTTGGCATGTTCATAGAAAACGTCCACATTGAGTGACTGCTTTTCACTGACATAGGCGGACATAGGCAGACATACAATAGAAAAGGAAGGATGGATACATGTTGAACCCCCCCCGTTGCTTGGAGTAGGCCCGGACTGGCCACACCGCGTCAAGCCAGGAACGATACACAGAGACAGCCGTGCGTGCCCTGCCAAAAGCCCAAGCACTGATCCATGCTGCATCCTTCACGCTCGCACGCAGGCACCCCTATGTTCATAGAGCTTACCTCATGACAAAGGAAACGTGCTCAAGTTTGCATGGCCGGCATGCATGAGTTGACATTGAACGTGTGAAAGCCAAGGGTCATGAAATCATGACCTCCCTAAAAATGGACATGTATGAATATATGAACACATGAACAAGCCAAGATTTACATCTGAACGACTGTACGCATGCATACACACAGCTGCACATGCGACTGTCTGCGACAAAAATGTTGAAAGCGGGAGTGTATGCAACACATGACAGTCTTTGCACGAATGTGAGGTTCTTGGCCTGCATCAGCCAGTGGTTTGCCTACGTCAGAGCCCCTCTAAGCATCATTGTAGGTCCATGTGCACGCATGCACAGGTTGGGCTAATTGCCGGCAGCTGCACTTGCCCATGGCACAGGGTTGGTATGCCCCGATGGGTTAAAAGTACATCACCTGGTCTGGCCATTGAAGGTGATTGTTGACCCCAGATGTTTATATCAAATTAGGGGAAGTCCCTAGGTCTCAGACCACTCTTAGAGGGCCTCAACCCCCCTATCAATAGGACGGGCTCTACTTAGATCCGAGGTCAGCATTAGATTTCAAAAAATATATGAGCTTCCATTTGCTTAAGCATGTTGTGTTATTTTCCCCTGTTAGCTTTAAAGGGGCGAGATTTCACTACTGGAAATATGGTATCGTTTTTCCAGGGGCAAAAACACAAACGGAAGTAAGGAGCCCGACCCCATTCCCCCACCCCTATCAATCGGACGGACTATGTTGCTCCAGGCTCAACATTTGGTGTACTGTACCAAGGAATTATATTTTTTTCGGAGCTGTCAGGACCTCTTACTGCACTATGGGGAGCGCTTGTCCATGGAGGCCCGCCATGGCACTGTGGAGGTGGTAGATGACCTGGTGACCGCTTACGACACCGAGGCCCAGGAGAGCTAGCCCGAGATGTGGGAAGCTGGGTCTGTCCTGTTGTTGTTTGGGTTTGGTACCCCCTTTTCGGGCTGGTTTAAAAGGAAACCAAAAGGAAAACCGAGGCCATGTTGGGAGGCATAGTTGTTGTTTCAGAAGGTTAAAGGGAATCAATTTCACTATTGGACATATCTTCTCATGGAGGGAGGGCAAAGCAAATGGAGGTAAACTGCACTAGGGCTCCGGGCTCCCCGTGCAGTCGTTTCCTAATTTGAAAATCGGATTGGCCAAGTGTTCATTTTGATCAGCCCAGGGGTTCAAATCCCCAAACCACCAACTAAGGTGCCTTCCCTCCGTGTTTTGCCAGCCTTGGTTGCACCTTTCGGCTTGAAGCTTCTCCTCCTGTTCCCCCAAGAAGTTGTCACTGATGGCCCAGTCGGCATTCCAGAAAGCCATGTCCCGAGCACCGCGGTTTCAAATTCATCGCAGGGCTGGGATACTTTGATCGCAAACCAGAGGCAACTGATTCCTGAAGACCGACTTCGGTCAGCACAGAGAACCTTGCCCGCCTTCAAGACCAAAAGCTTGAGGAAACGGTAGAAAACTCAAGTAAACCAGAAAGGAAACAAAAACAATAATCAAAACGCCCCGGACAAGAGGTTAGATTGAAGCTTGCACATTTTTGGGGGCTTGGCTGTTGTTGTGTGGTATGTGTTTCTGCGGACTTTTGATCGGTGTTCAGGGTGGTTTCCGCAAGCTATCTGGGTTGGACTGCCCTCACTAGCACGTGTCGAGCCTACATATATACATATATAAACATATACACACATATTTCTATATATATATATGTATATGTGTGTGTACGCGCTATCTCTAGCAACAACTCGAGGAAACAAGAGAGAACAAAACAACAACCCTCCAAGCAAGGGGTTGCCAGGCATCAAGTGTGAGCATTCGTTCTGTAGGCATTGCCTTGGTGTCTGGCAAAACTAATGCATATCTAGCTGTTCTCTGGGTGTCGGAAGGCGTCAGCAGAGTATTGCTACGCGAACCATGCGAGAAGGGAAGGCGCGCAATTTGGTGCGCAGCGGAGCAATAAGAGCTTGGTCCGCGGCTACTTTTTGGCCAGTCTCCTGAAAGTGCAGAAAAACTATGTGCGTGCACAGCTGGCTTTCGCACTTCTCGCCTCAGGGATATGTAGCTTGCTGCAAAGTATGGCATGTGCCAAGCATATTACCTTATGCCATAGGAGAAGATGCTGCGCTGCGGGCCTTTTTATTTTCACGTTTCTGCACGTTGACTTCAGGGGTTCTGTTGGCAGAGATATCTGCAGATTACACCCATTGCACTTAAAAACAACTCTGCGTTTGACTGAAAAGCGAGTTTTGATGCATTCTGAAACCAAGGTTGCCTTCTTGAACGATGCTGGTTATACGGATCCATACAGAAAACCATGGTCAAGGCACTGTTTAGGCAATCAAGCGATATCAATCGTGCGGAAGTCTTTCCGAGCGTGGCACCCAGCGATGAGCGTCTCATTTCGATATCACAGGCGGCAACACCCCTTGAAATTCACAGAATTTCATTGGGCAAATTATAAGGTGCACACTTGAACATCAGCTCACCCAATTGCCCTTGATCCATGTGTTGATTGCCATTGCCGGCCCTACATGGTACACAGTGCCCTGCCTCCCACTATAACATTGGAGGGAGTGTAAGTTGCCCGCAACGTGTTTTCCTTTTAGTAATTCGGGCATGTTGGTTCCCAAATTCTTCGCAGCTATAAGGGTTCCTTGGGGATTTCTTGATCCAGGTTGATGAGTACCCTTCCACCCAAGATCTTAGCAGCTCGAGGCAGGGGCCATAAATCATTCCAGGAGCGGCGAGTGTCATCCCTGACGATCCACCTTCGAATGCGGGCGGAAGCAAGGGAAGCGCCGGAGTTGCTGAAGGACTCGGTGAAGCCCGGAGAAAAAATAAGGCCCCATACTGTGGACGGACGAAATCCGTTTCACACCATGTAAGAATCCCTGGAGTGATGGTTCCCTGCAAATAACAACAAACCATGGTTTCCCTTGGTTTGAAAGCGGTGCAAGATTTTGTGCACACACAGTATGGTCACGGGTTTGAAGATGGATCTACCTCAGTATGATTGGTGGCCATGAATCCCCACCAAAATGATGTCAAGAGAGAAAAGCGCCCCCCAGTAAGACTCACGGCCCTTTTCAGAAACCAACTTAAACGATGGGAGGTTGCTAAGTCGACCGGCGTCCCATAACAATGCACTTAAGTGACCTCCGTTGGATATTCAGGCAATCTTAATTCGAATAAAAGATGGTCCATTCATAGGACCCACAACATTTTGTATGTGGCAATTAAATGTCTAAAACATATTCAGTATTACTGGTAATTATTGCACATGTTTCTATTGTATGACAAAGTTGCAAGCATGTCCCACAATATATATATATATATATATACATATATATATATATATGTATCGAACTATATGTCTAAAACATGAACAATGAAGAATAAAAGGATGGTTGAATGAATTAATGGAAGGAATGTGATAATTTATAGTTTTAAATAATGAATAGTTGGCATTGATTATAATAAAAAGAAAACTATTATTTAAATTCATATTAATGATTTATAAATATTCAAAATAGCAATAATAATAATAATAATAATAATAATAATAATAATAATAATAATAATAATAATAATAATAATAATAATAATATATAACAAGAAAATAACAACATGTGATATTATAAAATAACTATATTAATTTATATATAGTTTTGGCAAACGTGTAGCCGTAGGTGTGCGCTTGACTTAACTCAGAGTAAGGGTCCACTTGGGCAACAGTTTGTCTCAAGTGGACCAAAACCAGTCTTTACTTGATGTGAAACCCCCTCCACATGATGAGACAGTGATGCCGCCACAGGAAATTCCGTTGGCCTATGCGGATTCGGTGGCAAAACTCCAGAGGCAAAGAACCTCAAGATCCTCAAGGCCATTCCGTGGTTCCTCCAGGCCAAGTTGGCGGAGGAGAGGAGTTGGAGCTCACGCAGCCTCATCGGCGGGGCCATGCACACCGGGGATATGGCCCCGAGCCTCACTCTTTGAAGCACCGATTCAAACTGCGCGGGAGGCGAAATTTGCTACATCCCCATGAAGTACCTGGTCAGTGCCCTGCCGGAACCAGACCCTTTAAAACCACCAAGAAGAGCACGGTGGACGGCTGGGACCGGGAGGACGAGGTGGAGGAACGATGGGAACCCCGCACCGCCACCAACTGGAACGCATGCAAGCGGCTTTCCGAATCACACTGCTTCAGAGCGCTTGTGAAAGACCACCGGACCGGCTTGATGACATTGGGAGCCGGGAGGAGGCTTGGTGCCTTGCTAGGTGGTGTTGTTGACAGGCGCAGGCCGGGCTTTCCGGCCTTGTCAGGGCCCTCGGCACCAGGCTCACATGCGCGGAGTTGGATGTCCTTTTGTCTGGACCTGTCCGGCCGGCCGAGCCGTGCCTGTCAGGGCCCGGCACCTGAGGCGGGGTAGGGGTCTCCGCCCCTAGTCAAGCGGGGCAGTCCTGCAAAAGATGATCCCCCAAGCAAATGCGGCCCGCCAAGATGAGATTGCACATAATCCGAGTGGGCCTCGTGGTTGGACGGCTCCTGGAGGAGGTTCGGATCTTCCCGTACTGGTCCACAAGAGGGTGTCCTGTTTGACAGCCACCATGGATTCTTTGAGGGCGCTTCCCTCATGCATCTTCTCATGGATCTTCCTCTATGCGTTACGTTCCGCGATGGCCAGGATGATACCGTCTGGCGGGGAGGATCACATTCCCGTGGATGCAGACCATTTCTGAGCGGCTTGCACAGCGACTACGCTGCGACCACTTCTCCTGAAGCGCCGTCGAGTGGACCACTGATCGTGCTGGGAAGGAGGACCCTTCCTCCCTGGATAGTTGCCTGCACGCCGACTGCCTGCATCTCCAGCATGGTCGTAGCAGTGGACATTCTACGGCCGCCGGACTCTCCCTCTGCCTCTGCCTCTCTCTCCCTCTCCCTCTCCTTCTTTCTCTCCCTCTCCCTCTCTCTCCCTCTCTTTCCCTCCCTCTCCCTCTCCCTCTCTCTCCCTCTCTTTCCCTCCCTCTCCCTCTCCCTCTTCCTCTCCCTCTCCCTCTTTCCCTCTCCCTCTCTCGCCCTCTCTCGCCCTCTCTCCCTCTACCTCTCCCAACCACCCGATGACAAGGACCCCAACTCCCATCCAAAAGGATTGTTGCATGGTTGAAAGAAGGGGGGTCTCACCCCTCGAGGCTAGGCCAACGGCCCGGCTCCGGCCACCCGGCGAATATCCGGCCATTCCCTGAGGAAAACCCTCACCGGGATTTGCAGGGAATTTGCCTACGTAAGCGCCACACGGGGAGCCCTCATTATGACCTTTCGAAAGACTCTGACTGGGAATTTCCACTCTAATTGAAAACTGGAGTTATATTAGGGGTCTCGGACCCTACTCTGGTGTCCCCAGGCGGAGGAACGACCTGGACAGGGGAAGATGTCCTCCGCCCGGGACCGTTGGCAGGCATTGCTGAGATGGACAAAATCCGCACCATTTATGATGGCTTAAAGGGGGGAATTAACGCCCATATCTAGACGAATACATAAGAAAGGATTACGGCACCGATGGTGGGAGATTGTCTCTATGCTATTTATTGGTTAAGATTGGCCACGGAATATTAGACTGTTTTTCAGATGGCCATGATGCATGTAGACCGGTGACGGGATAGGTAGGCGGTCTTAATACTTAGACTATTTCATTATTTGTGGACTCGCACCTCGTTTTTGTGGACGATTATTGCTGGATCCTCCGGCAATTGAACAACGATTGGGACGTTATAGATATTTTGGCTAGGTTTTGTTGATTTTCTCCGGTTAATATTTGGTTGGGCTTTGTGATATAATTAGTTTTTGTGTGTTTTTGGCCTTATTTCAGCATATTAGCATCCTGATTACATTCCGACGACTTGCTTAAGGCGATTGTTTTAGTAAGGAGATGGAACGAACCCATTCAATGGATTACGGCTTGTTTTATGATTAAGTCTTTTTTGATAACTCTGTTTGGAGTTGGAAGAAGGTTTGTAGTACTTTGGGTAGGTCCTCCTTAAACTGGTTTGTATATTGATATGTTTCTTGGAAAATTTTGTTGAATAGAAAATTTCTTTGATAATATAGTTTGCTCCTATATTTCCATGGATGGGAGCTTCCGATATAGGGGTCGGCAAATACACGGATTATGCTTGGGTTGGAGGTTGGTGTTTTGATATTTAAAAATCATTGAAAAATTAGATGAAATGATTCTAGTATAAGGTTACTCCGAATTAAGAATCATGGGAATTCTTTTGTTGAGGTTTTATGAGCCATTGAGGGGAGAAGTTTAATGAAATTGGATTAATCTTCTTAATTTGGTATTGATTATTTTCGTATGAAAAAAATATTTTTCGTTTTTTGAATAGGGGAAATAATTAGTAATGTTTGTAATAATTTGTTGAATTTATATATTGAATTTAATTATATGTAATTGAGTTAATAATAAATATAATATTATATAAATTAATATATTATTTTGTTTTTGGTAAATAATTGTGGTTTATATAATTTAAAATATAATTAATATAATTAGTTATTAGATATTTAATATATATAAAATAGATTAAATTCTATAGTATTTATTTAGGATATAAAATATAGATATTGAAATTAATTATATTAATTTGAATAAATACAATTAAATATATTAAATATAGAATATTAATGTAAATAATATATTGAATAATAAAATATAATATATAGAAATTTACAACTATTTTTAAAATGAAATTGTTATATATTTTAATAAATATATATATTACAAAATATAATATATAAAAATTAATATATAATTAATATTAATGATAATATTGAATATTTATAAATTTATTAATTATTATGATTTATATATGATGTATGTTTTTAAAAAAGGATGGTAATATTATGAAAGGCAATTTAAACATATAAATGGTTAATTGAATATTATATAGAAGGTAAAAATTTATTGAATTCTTAATTATTTAATTTTTTAAAATATAATAAATTATGGTATTTATAATATTAATCAAATCGAATATATTTTGTTGTTTATAATTATAATTCGACATGGTCGAGTATATATTTTGATTAATTATAATCCAATGGAAATTTTTATAATCCGCTCCTAAAACGAGGCCCGAGCTAGAGGAAAAATCGAGAATCTCGATCCAAAGATCTTAAATTAATTATATTATACAAAGAAATAATATTATAAAAAATATATTAATTAAAATATATATAATTTAAAAAATATTTAAAATTATCGAAGATTTTAAATATAAATTTAAAAAATATTAAATTAATATATATATATTTTCAAAAATTATAAAGATATTAATCCGAATTAAAAGATTTATGTTTTTCATATTTCCCAATTCAAATTATTCAAAATTAAATTTCTATATAATATATTAATTATCTAAATTAATATAATAATATTAACAAAGAATATAAATAATATAATAAAATCCAACCGGAAAAGAAAAAAAAATAATACCAATCCAATGCAAAGGGTTAATGGGTTTCCCATCGTCAATATATTATTTAAATCTAAATAAAAAAATTAATAAATTCAAAAAAAATCAATATTATATAAAAATATATTCCTAATTAAAAAAATCAAATTCTTACCAATTTGCAAAGAAAATCATAAATTCTTTATTTAAATTATTTTTAAGTTAAGTATTCAAAACCAATTTTAATTTATTAATTCGTCTAGTTCGAATTATTTTATCAATTAATATTCCAATAAAAATATATATTTATAATCTAGTTAAATTTATAAAAGAATTATTCTTTTTATATTTATATCCAATATAAAAAACATATATTTTAATATTAATTTGTTATATTTTTTTTTGATATTCCAAAATTAAAAAATACCAAATCAAAATCAAATTACATTATTTTTTATAAAATATATATATATATATATAATATATTCTCAAATAAAATATTTATTCAAAAAATATATATTATTTATTTCATCAATAATCATTAATTCTATATATATTCCTCAAATTATTATTCAAATAAAAATTATATTTATTATTATATATATATATATGTATGATTAAAATGTTGATGAGATGTTTTTTAAAGAGGTAAACCTCAGTATTTTGGAAATGGATCATAGATTCAAATCGATTGATTTGTTTCCAGACAGTTGTGGTGATTTCTGTTTTCTATTGAATGTAGAAATGATTAGATTTTGCCACGACAGGACAAGATAGCTGTATCGAGTCAAGCTCTATGATCATGATCCCCCTTGTTACCTCCATATTCCTCGTTGACAACTACTGATGATCGTGCACCTTTGGCTAACGGCGTGCTGAGCTCGGTCCTTGATGCTGGGGGCCCGGCTTGCTTTGCTCGCGCACATATTGCAGCAGACGTGCCTCACAGGTCTCTGACCCGTTGCCACTTGAGATGGACGCCAAATCCGCCATTCTAGAACTTGGTAGTGACGTGCGAACATAGATGGCCCTGGCACATGGTTCACAAAAACCAACCTAAACCAGTGGAACCCATCTGCTTCTAACCCTTTAAATCCAGCAAGAAAAGGGGCACCTATGCTCCTCCGGTCGCATGTCGCCCCTTGTCCAAAGAATCTCACTCCATCAGAAAGCCCCCGCCTCAGAGCACCTTTGAGGAAGTCGCATACTAATCCCATCCTCAGCGCGCGAATCATGAATGTGTGTCTTGTTTGGGGTCCGGACCCTTTTTTGGTTAGTAAAGTAAAGCCGCCAAATAAGCCAAGGCAAGCCACCAAGAAAAACACGAAAACCACACGTGTTACCTGCAACAACAAAAAACACAAGTAGCACCTGCAAGAAAAAGCACAAGCGGTACCTGCAAGAAAAACCACAAGTGGTGCATGCAAGACAACTCACAAGTGGCACCTGCGAGAAAACTCACAAGCGGTACCTGCAAGAAAGCCACAAGTGGCACTTGCAAGAAACTCACAAGCCGGTACCTGCAAGAAAAACCACCAGTGGTACCTGCAAGAAAACTCACAAGCGGTACCTGCAAGAAAAACCACCAGTGGTACCTGCAAGAAAACTCACAAGCGGTACCTGCAAGAAAAACCACCAGTGGTACCTGCAAGAAAACTCACAAGCGGTACCTGCAAGAAAAACCACCAGTGGTACCTGCAAGAAAACTCACAAGCGGTACCTGCAAGAAAAACCACCAGTGGTACCTGCAAGAAAACTCACAAGCGGTACCTGCAAGAAAAACCACCAGTGGTACCTGCAAGAAAACTCACAAGCGGTACCTGCAAGAAAAACCACCAGTGGTACCTGCAAGAAAACTCACAAGCGGTACCTGCAAGAAAAACCACCAGTGGTACCTGCAAGAAAACTCACAAGCGGTACCTGCAAGAAAAACCACCAGTGGTACCTGCAAGAAAACTCACAAGCGGTACCTGCAAGAAAAACCACCAGTGGTACCTGCAAGAAAACTCACAAGCGGTACCTGCAAGAAAAACCACCAGTGGTACCTGCAAGAACACTCACAAGCGGTACCTGCAAGAAAAACCACCAGTGGTACCTGCAAGAACACTCACAAGCGGTACCTGCAAGAAAAACCACCAGTGGTACCTGCAAGAACACTCACAAGCGGTACCTGCAAGAAAAACCACCAGTGGTACCTGCAAGAACACTCACAAGCGGTACCTGCAAGAAAAACCGCCAGTGGTACCTGCAAGAACACTCACAAGCGGTACCTGCAAGAAAAACCACCAGTGGTACCTGCAACAAACTCACAAGCGGTACCTGCAAGAAAAACCACCAGTGGTACCTGCAAGAACACTCACAAGCGGTACCTGCAAGAAAAACCACCAGTGGTACCTGCAAGAACACTCACAAGCGGTACCTGCAAGAAAAACCACCAGTGGTACCTGCAACAAACTCACTACCTGCAAGAAAAACCACCAGTGGTACCTGCAAGAACACTCACAAGCGGTACCTGCAAGAAAAAACCACAAGTGGTACCTGCAAGATTTCCACCCGCCTGGACCCCAAACAGCCAAAAAAAGCCAACACAGTGCGACTGTACGGCCCCGGACAGGGCGTGGCCATCTCCAGGCGTGGCACGGAGAAGAAGCAGGCAGGTTCCGTTGGCTTTGCCCGGAGACTTTCTTTTTTTCCTGTGGTTTTGTGACGGTGGCTCCAGTGGACACGACAGTCTTGTGTTTTTTGTTTTTCTCTTGTGGCTGCCTTTACCCTCAAAGGAAGGGGGTCAATTCCCGAAACCACCAATCCAAACCACCAAGGGTACCTGAAGCAAGTCCAACTTGCCTCAAAACAACAAATGCTCAGCCCGGCCCTCTTGCAGCCGAGGAACGCATAAGATCCTCCGGGTATGTAGGACACAAAGAACCTCAGCTGGTCATTGCAGGCGTGTCCCAGAGTCGCATGAAAGATTGGCATGCGGCTTCGTTGTGCATCCCGAAGAGGGTTCTGCTTTGACACATGCCCATTCACTCCCAAGTCAAGCAAT